TTTTTAAATATTGAAGAAAAAAATATATCATTAAATAGTTAATTAGAAATAAAAAATGAAGAAAAAATATGAAATAATAAGATTAATTAATTAATAATAAAAGCAAAAGTTGAAAATAAAATGATGAGCTAAATTAACAAAGAAAGAACAAAAAAAAAAGCAAGCACAATAAAAAGAAAAAGAAAAAAGAGCTTTATTGTTTTTAATTAGTTTTTATAATTTAAAATATCACAATCCAAAACAAATAAACTGTTTTTACTAAAGGTCAAGTGTCAAATTTGAGAGATTAATGGAATTTGCTAAACCAGAACCTAAGCCTGATGCACCTTCATCACCAATTTAATTGCTACTTTTTAAATATTGAAGAAAAAATATATCATTAAATAGTTAATTAGAAATAAAAAATGAAGAAAAAATATGAAATAATAAGATTAATTAATTAATAATAAAAGCAAAAGTTGAAAATAAAATGATGAGCTAAATTAACAAAGAAAGAACAAAAAAAAAGCAAGCACAATAAAAAGAAAAAGAAAAAAGAGCTTTATTGTTTTTAATTAGTTTTTATAATTTAAAATATCACAATCCAAAACAAATAAACTGTTTTTACAAAAGGTTAAGTGTCAAATTTGAGAGATTAATGCAATTTGCTAAACCAGAACCTAAGCCTGATGCACCCATTGCACCAATTTAATTAAAACTTTTTAAATATTGAAGAAAAAATATATCATTAAATAGTTAATTAGAAATAAAAAATGAAGAAAAAATATGAAATAATAAGATTAATTAATTAATAATAAAAGCAAAAGTTGAAAATAAAATGATGAGCTAAATTAACAAAGAAAGAACAAAAAAAAAAGCAAGCACAATAAAAAGAAAAAGAAAAAAGAGCTTTATTGTTTTTAATTAGTTTTTATAATTTAAAATATCACAATCCAAAACAAATAAACTGTTTTTACCTAAGATCAAGTGTCAAATTTGAGAGATTAATGCAATTTGCTAAACCAGAACCTAAGCCTGATGCACCTTCATCACCAATTTAATTGCTACTTTTTAAATATTGAAGAAAAAATATATCATTAAATAGTTAATTAGAAATAAAAAATGAAGAAAAAATATGAAATAATAAGATTAATTAATTAATAATAAAAGCAAAAGTTGAAAATAAAATGATGAGCTAAATTAACAAAGAAAGAACAAAAAAAAAAGCAAGCACAATAAAAAGAAAAAGAAAAAAGAACTTTATTGTTTTTAATTAGTTTTTATAATTTAAAATATCACAATCCAAAACAAATAAACTGTTTTTACCGAAGTTTAAGTGTCAAATTTGAGAGATTAATGCAATTTGCTAAAGCAGAACCTAAGCCTGATGCACCCATTGCACCAATTTAATTGCTACTTTTTAAATATTGAAGAAAAAATATATCATTAAATAGTTAATTAGAAATAAAAAATGAAGAAAAAATATGAAATAATAAGATTAATTAATTAATAATAAAAGCAAAAGTTGAAAATAAAATGATGAGCTAAATTAACAAAGAAAGAACAAAAAAAAAGCAAGCACAATAAAAAGAAAAAGAAAAAAGAGCTTTATTGTTTTTAATTAGTTTTTATAATTTAAAATATCACAATCCAAAACAAATAAACTGTTTTTACAAAAGGTTAAGTGTCAAATTTGAGAGATTAATGCAATTTGCTAAAGCAGAACCTAAGCCTGATGCACCCATTGCACCAATTTAATTGCTACTTTTTAAATATTGAAGAAAAAATATATCATTAAATAGTTAATTAGAAATAAAAAATGAAGAAAAAATATGAAATAATAAGATTAATTAATTAATAATAAAAGCAAAAGTTGAAAATAAAATGATGAGCTAAATTAACAAAGAAAGAACAAAAAAAAAGCAAGCACAATAAAAAGAAAAAGAAAAAAGAACTTTATTGTTTTTAATTAGTTTTTATAATTTAAAATATCACAATCCAAAACAAATAAACTGTTTTTACCGAAGTTTAAGTGTCAAATTTGAGAGATTAATGCAATTTGCTAAACCAGAACCTAAGCCTGATGCACCCATTGCACCAATTTAATTAAAACTTTTTAAATATTGAAGAAAAAATATATTATTAAATAGAGTAAGTTGCAATACAAACTTACAAAAAGAGAGTTTTAAAAACCAGTTTTTACATTTTATAAAATTAAAATTTTAAATATTTTTTATGAATTTTTTTCCATCCTAGTTTTTCAAAATTTATTTTTTTCAAAAAAAATGACATGTTATCATAAATATTATTTCAAATTTTACATTTTGTGAATTTAAAGCTTTCTAAAAACTCAAAAATAAAGCTGCTTTAAGCTAATTTAGCTTTATTTATTATGTTATTAAGATATATTACATTTTGCCTTTTATAAATTAAATAGGCATTTTACTCTAGTTAATTAGGTGGAAAAAATGAAGAAATAATATGAAATAATAAGATTAATTAATAAAATTAACAAAGAATGAAAAAATAAGAAATCATAATAAAAAGAAAAAGGAAAGCAAATCAAATAAATTAAAAGTTCTTTAATGTTTTAAATTAACTTTTATAATTAAAAATATTACAATGCAAAAAAAATAAACTGCTTTTATTAAGTGTTGGTTTTAATAGCAAAAAACGAAGAAAAAATATCAAATAATAAATTATTAAAAATTGAAATGAAAATTTTGTTAAAATAGCTAAAAAATTTTTGTTTTTATAAAAATCAATAAATAATGATGATAATCTCTTTTATAAAAATTATTTATTTAAATAAATTGAAAATTAAATGTACAAAAAATATTAATAATAATAAAAGTAATTTTTTTAATTAATTATACTTCAGATCAATATGGAGAACCTAATGAGATAAAAGTGAAGAGCTTAAAAACTTTTTTTATTAATTTATATAAATTAAAAGGATATTAATAAAAAAATTAATAATTACTTCTTCTAATTTTTTATATTTTTTAATCTATTATATCATTTATTTTTTTTTCACAAAAATATTGAATAGCAATTTATGAAATTTAATTAATTAATTAATTAATTAATTTTAAATGGATAAAAAGAACAAATAAATATAATAATTAATTAATTATCAAATATTAATTTATATATTTGGTATTATGAAGAGATATCACAAAAAAATTAATTTAATATTCACTATAGAGAATATACAATTGGAGCATTTTAGGGCCAATAGGTAAAAAAAAGCATTACCTATCATCTTAAAAACTTTTTTTTAAAATAAGAGTAAATTTTAAAAATAAAAAAACAAAGTATCTGATACATCCTAAAGATTCCAAACTTTTCTTTTATATTTATTTTTTTTTCTCTCTCAAGAAGATTCATTTTATCTTTAGTTTACCAATAATTAAAATTAAAAAAATCTTTTTTTTAGTTCATTTAGCTTTCAATTATTTCATATGTATTCTTTCTTATAATAGGTTTAATTAATTTTATAAGAATATTATTGTAATTAATTAGTAATGAATTATTAGAGTTAAAATTAATTAAATGGACGAAAAATAATAAACTAAATTTGGGATTAAAGCAGCTTCAGAAAATAAAAATTCTTTTATTATTTTGTTCAAACACTTTTTGATTAATCTTTTTTTTCTCATTTTTTTTGGTTTGTTTCAAATTTACTAATTTAATTGAATATGCTCTTGATCATTTTGATTGTTTAATAGATAGATACTACCTACTCTTTAATTATCTTAAATATTATTTATCATAAATAGTATCATTTATGAATTTTAGAAAAATACAAATTAAATTTTGTTTTTATTTTAGATATTTTGTTTTTTTCACACAAACAAACAAACAAACAAACAAACAAACAAACAAGCAAGCATAGTTGATTGAAAATTTAATTTAAAGCTAATAGTAAATTGCGACTGATTTTTTCTTCTTAGATTCTAATAAAAATTAATATAAATTATATGTTTTTATTTTTCTACTTGTTTATTTTGTTCTAAATCTATTTATAAGAATTTATTATTGTAATTAATTAGCCATAAATAAATGATGAAATTAAAATTAAATTGATGAAAAGCAATAAATTAAATTAAATTAAATTAGCTTAGGTAAGGTAAGGTAATATAGGGTTTGCTAGGGATTTAACACTTCATAAAATGAATGAATCTATAATTATTGTTTTAGTTTATTTTTGTATCATTTTTTTTATTCGCTTAAATCTTAATAATTAAATTTACTATACTTTTGGTATTTAAGATTATTGAATAGATATTAATTTATCTTAAATGTTATTTATAATTAATATTATTTATGAATTTTAAAAAAGTATAAAATGAATTTTGTTTTTTTCACACAAATAAGTATTATTTTTTTATCTATTTTGAAATTAATTTTTAATTTATACATCTTTTTCAGCTTGCATGCTTCTTTAATATTAGTATATATTATATATTTTTATTATCTACTTGTTTGTTTTGTTCATAATCTTTTCATAAGAATTTATTATTGTAATTAATTAGTGGTAAATAATGAAATCAATATTAAATTGATGAAAAGCAATAAATTAAATTAAATTAGCTTAGGTAAGTTAAGGTAAATTAGGGCAGGCTAGAGTTTTAATACTTCATAAAATCAATTAATCTATTATTATTGTTTTAAAGATTGAAAAAAATTAATTTTATTTATAAAAAAATTTAAGTTTTATTAGATGATTTTCTTTATTAATTGTATAAAAATTAAATAGTTGAACAATAATTGGTTATTATTTTTTATAAAATATCTTGTTTTACCCGAGTTTAAGATTTAAAGTTGTGAGACTAGTACTGCTTGATAAATTAGCAAATAAATTTGATATTCCCTATTTACCAAAGTTATTTTCTCTTTTATTATTAATGATAAATAAATAAATAACTTTAGCTAATTTTCAAATAATAAGCTAAAATTGTAATAAATAAAAATTTTTTAAAAATAATTATTTTTACTATAAATAAAGATCTAAATTTGTTAATTTAGAACAGTTTTTTAAAGTAAACCCTAAATTAAAAACACCTTCATCATCAATTTAACTTATCCTTATTAAAATAGAATTAAATTTAAAGGACAAATAAGTATAATAAAAATAATAATAAATAGTATAAAAAATAGCTAACATTCAATAAGAAATTGCTAAATTTTATTAAAAATAGGTATGAAAATAGAAAATGAAAGAGAAATATAATCACTTTAAACAAAAATAGTAATGTTTGATCTCTAATTAAAATTAAAAAAAGTTTGCTAAAAAATGGATAAAAAAGATAACATAAATTAATTATATTTACCTTAAGTCAAGTTTTAAAATTGAAATACTTTAGCTTTTAGCTAAAGCATATCCTAGTCCTAATATACACTATGCATCTATTTCATTCCTTTTTTTTATAGATTTGACAAAAATGTAAAAAATTAAGCATATAAAAATGAAAAAAAGAAATTTTTTATCACATACTATCAAAATATAATTAATTAAACTATAAAAATTAAAGTAAACCATTTTTCTGTTCATATTATTTTGAATAATAAATGATCATATTGCATTAGTATAATTAATTAATTAGTTAACAATTCTTACATGAATAAGAGTTCTAGAGTTTAAAGATTTGAACATTATGCTAAATCATTCCCTAAATCTAAAAGATTCTTAGTACCAATAACTTCAATACTTTCAAAATTAAAATTATTATAAAAATTTAGCTCAAAAATAAAATGACTCATTAAAAAAAATAGCGAGCTAAGAAATCAAAATAATAAAATCTACATAATTCTAAAAATAAAAAATAGTAAGATTAAAATAATATTTTTACTTTATTCCTAGTTTTAGTTAGAGTTTTGGATATTTCGTTAAAGCAGAGCATATGCCTAATTAATCTAACTAATGTTCATAAACTTTTTCTTAATGGCTATATAAAATAAAAGATAAATATTTATTTAATAAAATAGGATATAATTTAAAAGAATCACAAAAAATTTAAGATATTAAAATATCTTACTTCAAATTTTTCTCTATAAAGATATTTTAGAGATTGGCACTGGTAATTAAAGCTTAGCATAGATCTGATATACCCTTATAACCAATTTCTGAATATCTATTAATTTGTATATCAATAAAATTTATAATATTTTGATAAAAGATGCTAATAATAAAAATAAATTGTGTAATATTTGTAATAAAAAAAAGTATTAAATTTGCTATTTAGAAATTTTTTTTTATTAGAGCAAAGAAATAAATGATAAATTAAACAAAAAGTTATTATTTTTACTTAGACTAGAATATGAAAGTAGTGAGATTAACACAATTAGATAAACAAACTCCTAAATATTTTGCATCAGCATCCTCAAGTTTTTCTTAACTTGTAAATTATCAAGTATTAATTTATTTTAAAAATCCAAAATTAAATTAAAATAATTTCAAAATTAAATTTAAGTTTTAAATAAATTAATAAAAAGAAAAAAAATTGAAATTTATTTATTGCTAAAATTGAAAAATTTCACAAAAATAATAAATTAATTAAATAAAACTCCTTACTTTAACAAAAGTATAAGAAATTATAGACTAATGCATTTTGCTAAAGCTTAGAATAAGATTGGTCTACTCTTTTCACCAATTGAACTTCTTAAAGATTTAGAAATTTATTTATTTATTTATTAACAAATGTAAAAAAAGATAAAAATAATATTTAGTGAATTTAATATTTTGAGATGAAAAAAATTTTTTAAATAAAAGTTTTATTTTTAACTATTTTGGTTATATTTCTACAATTTCAATTTTTATTTTAAACAAAAAATATAAATTAAGTTTACTGAAAGTCAATTTCCAATTTAGTGAGACCTTTAAATCTTTCTAAAATAAGTCCTAAATCTTAAATCCCCTTTTCAGTAAGATTAGCATCTCTTAAAAAAATGTTAGTTTAATTATTAAATAGAAAATGAAAAAATAGAAAATTTTTAATGAGCTAAAAAAATATTTGATATAAATTAATTAAATTAGAAAAAAAAATTAACAAACTTAGAAAACAGACTTGGATTTATTTAGTTAGTAACAAGCTTGTTTTCTAACAAAATTTTTAAATAATTAAACATTAATAACATATTTTACATTAAACATAATCTGAAATCAAAGATTTTTTTGCAGTTCGATAAAGCAGTAGCTAATGCTGATAAACATTGATCATCAATAATCATACAATTATGGCTAAAGATTTAATAAAAAAAATTAAAGTCATTATAAAATTTATAATTTTATATCAAAATACTCATTTAAGTATTTATGAAAATAAATAATCATTTTATATAATAAATTAAGAGAATAGTAATAAGAATGCCAATTAATTATCAATCTTTTTCAAATGCCTAAATTAATTGACATTGCTTCCATTTCTCACATTGACTTTATAAATCAATAAAATAAATGATACCCAAATTCTAATTTTAAAACTTAAAGATTAGAGCAATTTGATAAGACAGAACATATTTTTTAAAAATCTTATTCATTCATATCATCACAGCTTTTAATAATTAAAAAAATATTTTAAATTAATTTATACAAGTATTTTATTAATTTCGATTTTTTTTATCATTTAAAATTTTTTTTATTTCTAATTTGTTTTGAATTTTATTATTTTTTTATTTAAAAAATTATTTTAAAATATATTTTTTATTTTATTTATTTATTTATTTATTTATTTATTTGATATTTATTGCTTTAACTTTCTAAATTAAAAATTTTATTTTTATTTTTACTAAATCTTTAAAATAAAATATTGCAAGTAAATATCAAATTTTAGTTTAGTTTACAATAATATAGATTATTTATTTAAGTCTTACATTTTCAATTATTTTTATATATATCTTCTTTATCATTTTCAAAAGCCTCCATAAATTAAATTATCTACTTAATTCGAGCCAAATTTATTTGATTTGTGAATATTTTTTTAATTTAAATATATTTATTAAATCTTAAGATTATTCAAAAAATATGGAAATGTTCATTCTCCTAAAAATTATTATGGAATTGGAATATTAGTGATGAAAAATAATTAGATTTTTTTTTAATCATAAAAAATTAGTTTATTTATTTATTTACATTAAATCAATTTTGATGCCTGTTTCTGACTCAAGTGAATAACTTAAAATCTTTTTTTTAAATAGGAGTAAATTTTAAAAATAAAAAAACAAAGTATCTGTCTGATACATCCCTAAGAGTCAAAGGTCTTCTGTTAAGTTTATAATTTTTCTCTCTCTCTAGAAGATTCATTTTATCTTTAGTTTACCAATAATTAAAATTATAAAAAATCTTTTTTTTAGTTCATTTAGCTTTCAATTATTTCATGTGTATTCTTTGTTTTAATAGGTTTAATTAATTTTATAAGAATTTATTATTGTAATTAATTAGTAATAAATTATTAGAGTTAATATTAAATAAATGGAAAAAAAATAATAAACTAAATTTGGGATTAAAGTAGCTTCAAAAAATAAAAAATCTTTTATTCTTTTGTTCGTTCAAAAACTTTTTGATTACTCTTTTTTTTTTTTGGTTTGTTTCAAATTTACTAATTTAATTGAATATGCTTTTGACAATTTTGATTGCTTATTAGATAGATACTACCTACTCTTTAATTATCTTAAATCTTATTTATCATAATTAGTATCAATTATGAATTTTAGAAAAATAAAAATTAAATTTTGTTTTTATTTTAGATATTTTGTTATTTTCACACAAACAAACAAACAAACAAAAAAACAAGTACAGTTGATTGAAAATTTAATTTAAAGCTAATAATAAATTGCGATTAATTTTTTTATAAAAATTAATATAAATAAAATGTTTTTATTTTTTTACTTGTTTATTTTGTTCTAAATCTATTTATAAGAATGTATTATTGTAATTAATTAATTAATTAATTAGCCATAAATAAATGATGAAATTAAAATTAAATTGATCAAAATTTATATGTTAAATTACAATAATTTAACAGATATTTTTCAATTAAAAATAATTCTTTTTAATTTATTATAAATGAATTATAGCACCTATATCTCTTTGTTAAATTGTTTTTCTTATTTTTACTTGTTCTTGGGACTGTAATTTTTTAATTTGAGATATTTTGTGAAATTTAAAATAATGTAACCCGTCTTAAACATTATTAAAAAGTATAAAAAATTATCATTAAAAAAATTTATAAATTAAATTTTAAAACTTAACATATAATCAAAAGTATCCAGAAAAATAGAATTAACTCAGTTTTTTTTTTAATTTAATAAAATGTAGTTTTTTAATAAATAAATATATGGAAGAATGTAAAATATCTTTGAAAAAAAGAAGAATGTTTTATCTAAGTAAATAATAAATAGAACGAATAATAATAATATTTTTATTTGAGATATTATTTCATATTTTATCACTTTTAAAATTGAATAAAAAAATAAAAAAGTATCAGTTTTTGAATTTAAATAGATTTACATAAATAAACAAATAATACCAAATAAATTTACATTTAAAATTATTTAATAAATTTTAAAAGTATATTATTTTGACTAAGACCAAAACCAAGTTATGGCTTATGAAAAATCTCAATGATAATTTATTTTACGTTAAATCCTATTAATCAATTATTATAGTAAGAGTATCCCAAATATTTTTAAACTAATCTCTTCATTTTAAACATGTAATAATAGAGTTTTTCAGATTCTGATTTATCTCTTAGTTTATTATACCTATATTTATAATTAAAAATAAACATTTTTTCTATAAAAAAAATTGATTTAGTCCTTATTAAAATAGAATAAAATATGAATATTATAAAAATAAATTCAATTACAACAAGAAATAAAACATTAACTTTTTATTCTTGTTTTTCTTAGTTTAGTTTATGATAAGAAAAAAGTTGATGATAAATAAAATTTATTAAGTAAAAAATATTTATTACGAGATATCAATTGTTATAATTTAAATATTATCCCAACTTTGAAAAGCAGATCCTAATTCTTTTACACCTTATTTATCAATTTCATTTTCCCTATTAAAAAATATTAAAAAAACTTCAACAAAAAACAAAGGAACAAAATAAAGGTAGATAACAAGAAGTAATAATCAAAGTTAGTTTTGAAAAGAATTTCCTTCATTAATTCCTAATCTATTCAAATATTTTATGTTTTTCTATTAATTATTTATGGATTAAATTTATGTATATCTTTGCTTTACTAATTAGCCTTTCGAACTATGTAAATTTAGTTATTCTTAAAATTATTCTTTAAAATGTTTTAACTTTAATTCCAAATTGAAATTCTGATGGAATGATAAAGAAAAGAATAAACATAAATTATTTTACATAAGTTCAAGTGTTAAATTCCTGATTTTAGAGGATTTTATAAAAGAAGATCCTATACCTGATACTGCTTCATCATCCAATTTATTTTACCTTTAAAAAGGGTAAAAATTATTAAACTAAAAAAAGAAGAAGGAGAAATATTTTTTTAAATAAAAAAAATTTAAGAATAAAAAGATTAAATAAAATTTAAAGTAAAAAATTTATATTATTTATCAATAATTTAAATTGTTATTTAGTTGATTTTTTTAATGAATTATATAAAAATTAAATATTTGAATAATAATTGGTTATTTTCATAAATAATCCTGTTTTTTTACTAGAGGTTAAGCTTTAAAGTTGTGAGACTAGTATTGCTTGATAAATAAGTTATTAAATGTGATACTCCCTATTTGCCAAAGTTATTTTCTCTTTATTAGTAATGATAAAAAATTTTAGTTAATTTTCAAATAAAAATCTAAATTTTACGCTAAATTAAGATCTAAATTTGATAATTTAGAACAGTTTTTTAAAGTAAACCCTAAATTAGAAACACCTTCATCATCAATTTTATTCTGACTTAATAAAATAGAATTAATTTTAAAGGACAAATAAGAAAAATAAAAATAAATAGTTTTATTCAAAACGAAACTGCTAAAAATTTTGAAAAAAAAAAATGAAGAAAAGTAATTACTAAAGACATTAAAATAATGTTTGGTTTCCATTTAAAATTAAAAAAGTTAGCAAAAAATTATAAAAAGCATAACACATATTAATGATTTTTACCTTAAATCAAGTTTTAAAATTGAAAGACTTGAGCTTTTAGCTAAAGCAGATCCTAGTTCTAATGTGCACTTTGAGCTCATCTCATTCCTTTTTAGTAAATTTGACAAAAATGTATAAAATTAAAAAATGAAAAAAAGAAAAGTTTTTTCACATACTATCAGAAAATAATTGGTTAACATATCAAACAAAATTAAATCAAAATATTTTTCTGTTCATATTCTTTGAAGCAATAAATGATCAAATAGCAATCGAAAAATAATTTAACTATTCTTACATGAAAGAGAGTTCTAGAATTTAAAGATTAGAACATCCTGCTAAATCATTCCCTAAATCTAAAAGACTCTTAGCGCCAATAACTTCTTTACTTTCAAAATTAATAATTTTATTTATTAAAAGCTCAAAAATGAAATGACTTATTTAAAATGAATACAGAGCTATCAACAAAAAAACCAAAATGATTCTATAAAAAAAAAATATGATTAAAATAATATTTTTACTGTAGTTCTAGTTTTAGTTTTGAGAGTTTTGGAAAATACGGTAAAGCAGAGCATATACCTATTTAATCTAATTAATGTTCATAATCATTTTCATGATACCTTTAAAAAACAATAGAAATATATTTATTTTAAAAAATAGAATATAATTTAAAAGAATTACAAAAATGTAAGATATTAAAATATATTACTTAAATCTTATCTCTATCAAGATTGTTGAGAGCTTAGAGCAGTTGGTTAAAGCAAAAAATAGATCTTATATACCCTTATAACCCATCTTTTGAGATCTAGTAATATTTTATTTTAATAAGATTAATAATATTTTAGAAAAAAATGCAAAATTAAAAGTAAATAGTGTGTGTAATATTTCTAAAAAGAAAAAAATACTGAATTTGCTATTAAGAAAACAAACAAACAAACAAACAAACAAATCAATTCAAAAATTCCAATCAAATAAAACTTCTAATTTTTTTTAGTTTTTGTTAGAGCAAAAAAATAAATAAATAATAAAATAAACAAAAAAGCTATTATCTTTACAAGGATTTGAGTTTGAAAGTAGTCAGATTAACACAATTAGATAAACAAACTCCTAAATATTTAGCATCAGCATCCTCAAATTCAAACCAACTTTTAAATTATAAGTATTAATTAACTTTAAAATCCAAAATTAAATTAAAATAATTTCAAAGTTAAATTTAAATTATTAATTTATAAGAAAAAAGAAAAAAAAGGAAACTAAAGTGTTATTAAAAATTGAGAAAATTTGTCAAAGAATTAATAAATTAACAAATTATTACTTGAAAATAAGTGCAAGAAATTATAGTTTCAAGCATTTTGCTAAAGCTTGGAATAAGATTTGTTTACTCTTTTCATCATTTAGACATCTTTAAGATTAAGAAATAAATTTATTTATTTATTAACAAATGTTAAAATAGATAAAAATAATATTTAATGAATTAAATATTTTAACATGAAAAAAAATTTTAAAATAAAAGTTTTATTTTTTAATTTGCTTATCTATCTACAAAATCAGTCTTTATCTTAAAAATAAAACTATAAATTGAATTTACTTAATTTGAAGTTTCAATTTTGTAAGATCTTTAAATCTTTCTAAAATAAGTCCTAAATCTTATACTCCCTTTTCAGTAAGTTAATCTAAACTTAAAAAAAAAAGTTAGTTTAATTGTTAAATAGAAAAATATAAATGAGCTAAAATATTATTGATATTAAAGAATTAAAAATAAAAATTAAGCAAAAAAAATATTAACAAAACTATTTGGATTTACCAATTTAAACGTAAGCTGAAATAAAAGACATTTTTGCAGTTCTATAAAGAAGTGGCTAATGCCTAGATACTTTGATCACTAATCACACAATGATTACTAAAATTTTATTAAGTAAAATTAAAGTCTTAATACAAATATATCTAATTTTATATCAAAATGCTCATTTAAGTATTAAAAAAATAAGTAAGTAATAATTTAATAAAAAAATAAATAAAAATGATAATAAAAAAGCCAATTATCAAGCTTTTAAATTAGTTTATCCAAAAGAAATTAATAAAAAAAAATAAATAATACTCAAAATTTAAATTTAAAACTTAAAGATTAGAGCAATTTGATAAGGCAGAACTCATTTTTAAAAAATCTTATTCGCTTATTTCATCAAACCTTTTAAAAATAAATTAAAAAAATAATAAATATTTTTGATTTAATGGATTCAAATATTCTGTTGATTTTAGTTTTTTTATAATCTTTATTTAAATTTATTTTAAGTTCTTTATTTTATTACGAATTTATTTTGCTTGCTTTTTTTTTATTTAAATATTAATTTATTTATTATTAGTTTTATTTGGTTTCTAAATTAAAAATTTATTTTTATGAACAGGTAAATCAGGTAAATATCGAATTTAAATTTATAATTATGGAATATTTATTTAAGTCTTATCTCTGCAATTATTTTTTTTTTCTTTCTCAATTTTAAAAGTCTCCCTCCATAAATCAAATTTTTAACTTAATTTGAGCCAAATTTATTTGTATTTGTGAAAATTCTTTAAATTTTAAGTCCATTTGTTAATCTTAAGATTCTTCAAAAATAAAAAAATATGGAAGTATTCATCCTACTAATAATTACTATCTATCAAAAAGATAAATTTTTTTTTAAATTATAAAAATTAGTAAAACAAACTAAGTTTATTTATTAATAGTAACTGAATTTTGAAGCCTGTTTCTGATTCAGGTTAATTACTTAATAACTATTTTAAATAATAAGAGTAAATTTTTATATCAAAAAATAAAGTTCTGATTACACTCTAAACTCTCCAAATGCATTTTCTGTTATATTTATCCTTTTTTTCTCTAAATAGCTTAAACATTTTATCTCGAGTTTATCAATAATTAAAATTATAAAAATCTTTTTTTTAATTAATTTAGCTTTCAAAAAATGTGTTAATTTAATTAAAAAATTAATTATCTCATATTTAATCATTCTTTTAATAGACTTAATTAATTAAGAAGAATTTATTATTGTAATTAATTAGTAACAAATTATTTGAGTTAAAATTAATTAAATTGAGAAAAAAATAATTAATTATTTTAAAGTTAACTATTGTTTTTTCTACATGCATGCTGTTTTAAAAATAACTATAAATTATATAAAATTTTATTTATCTCCTTGATTGCTTTCTTTTGTTCATTACTTATATATAAGAATTTATTATCATAATTAATTAGTCAAAAGGATGAAATTAAAATTTAATTGACTAAAAGCAATAAATTAAATTAAATATTTGATTAGATAAGATAAGGTAAGGTAATATAAGTAGGCTAGGCTAGATTTTAATACTTCATAATATGATTGAAACAACAATTAGTATTTTACTTTTTTTTTGCATCATTTTTTATTTACTTAAATTTTAATAATTTCATTTACTCTACTTTTAATACTTTTGATTATTTTTACTTTTTAATTATCTTAAATTTTATAAATAATGAAAGTCATTTAATAATTTTAAAAAAATACAAAATAATTCTTTTTTTTCACACAAACAAGTATCATTTATTTATTGAAAATTTATTTTGTAATTAATTGTTAATTTTTAGGTTTTTATTAGCTCATATGCTGCTTTTTTATTAGTATAAATTATATATTTTTATTTATCTACTTGTTTGTTTTGTTCTTAATCTATTCACAAGAATTTATTATTGTAATTAATTAGTGACTAATAATTAAATCAAAATTAAATTGATGATAAGCAATAAATTAAATTAGCTTAAATGTTTATGTTATTTAGGTAGGCATGAAAAAAATACATAATAAATTTTACTTTTATGAAAGATATTTTGTTTTTTCACACAAACAAGCATAATTTATAAAAATTATTTTGAAAATAATCAAAAATTAATTTTTTTTTTTAAGCCCTTATGCTGCTTTATAATTATTATAAATTATATATTTTTATTTATCTACTTGTTTGTTTTGTTCATAGTTTATTTAAAAGAATTTATTATTGTAATTAATTAGTTATTAATGATAAAATTAAAATGAAATTGATCAAAATTCATAAATTAAAAATTCTAAGATAGGGTATCGTTCACATAATTCATAAAATCAATTTATTATTATTACTAATCAAAATAAAACTATCAATAAAAATATAAGTATTATGGTAAAATAATTTGTGTTTGCAAACGTTTTAGCATCTACTGAAACACAAATTTTATTGCTATTTCCATTTTATCCTCTAGGGCATGCTAATACGCAGCTTTTTTCAGAAAGAAACTTTTTAAATATAAAATATATTTATTAGGTAAATAGATTATCAAAAAATTATTATTTACATAGTTATTTGAACAAGATAAGCATGTTGAGGGATCGGAACAATTTGAACAATTTGTTGGACATTAGGTACATGTTTAATTTGATTTATTACCATAATATCCTTAATTACATTTAGCTACGCAGCTTGTACCTTATAGATAAAAATTTGGATTACATGATGCACATGTTGCAGGTTAGAAAGAACCAATACAAGTAGAGCAGGGAGAAAAGCAAGATTAGGAATTCATGCAAACTTGCTAATTTTTATATGTGAAAGGTTTATATTAAGAATTGCAAGTTTTACAAGAATTTCCATCAGAACATTCATCGCATCCTTTAAGGCATGGAGAGCAAGTGTAATTTGGGCCATTAAAATATCCTTTTGAACATGTTGCAACACATTAATTATTTTAGAGGTACAAACTATTTTCGCAAGATAAACAAGAACTAGGATTTATAGAAGAACAAGTGGCGCAAGGCTTTGTACAAATAGTACACGAGCTACCGTATAGCCTGTAACCATTAGAACTGTCACATTAAATACAGGTTTTAGCATCAGTGCAGTTTTTACACCCAGTTAGACAAGCAGTACAAGTCATATCTATTGAATTTTTATAGTAACCTAGTGGACAAGAAGAATCACATTTATTTGATGATGGCTAAAGATAAAGATTTTATGCACAAGATAGACAACTAGTTGGAGTAGCAGATTTACATGTAGCACAAGGAGTAGTGCATGAAGAATTAATGCATGATGTTAAACTCTTTATATAATTAGATTTACAACCAGTGCAATTAGTATAACTAGTACAACTAGAGCATCCATCTGGACAGTTAAAACACGTCTTTGATACTTCATCAGCAAACTATCCATTTGGACAAGTTGTAACACATGAACCATTACTTAAATATGTTAAAAATTGACATGCTTTACATTAATTTTTGCTTGGACCTGAGCACTATGAGCAAGAAAAATCACATTATTTGCACAAACCTGTACCAGAGTCTGGATAATATCCATTTGGACAAGTTGGTCTACATACCTATCAAAAAAATAAATATTAAATTTACAAAAATTCAAAGTTAGTTTTTATTTTTCAAATATTGCATTTTAATTTTTGAAAAAATAAAAAACTTGCATATGAAAATCGATTTTCAAAAGAGAAAATTGGAACTTAAATTTAAAATAATATTTAATTTGAATATTTTGGTTATAATAATATATTCTATTCTTATATACTGTAAATAATTAATTAAAATCAAAAAATTAGTTTTTATCAAAAATATACTTTATTATTAATTTTTAAAAACTAACTAAATAAGATTTTCAAAATTTAATCTAATATTTTTTGTATTACATTAGTAGTTATCTAAATTTTTTTTAATTAAATACTAATAAGTATAGCCTTTCCAAAATTAAAAAGGCACTTTACTATATTTTATGAAATAAAAAAACCAAGATCAGTAAGTAAGTAATATTACTCAAAAATTTTTAAATTGGATATTTGAAATACAAAATTTTTAAATTATTTTATTTTTAAAATAATTTCTAATTTAAATAAAATTGTCATTTTATTAGATTTATTTTGAAATTCAAATTAATAAAAATAAAAATAATACATTATCAGAGTTTCCAAATGTGCCATTTGGACATGAAGCCACACATATTCCTTCCTATGAAATAAAACCCGAACACTATTGACTGCAATCAACTCCTCCAAAACCAGGATTGCATAAACACTATCCTCGAATACAAATTCCATTATAAGTACAAAAATTAACACACTATTAATCATCGCATAATCTTGCTATATTAGATGGACAAGTTACTTGACCTAAGGTTTTACCTTAATAGACCACTGTCATTTAATTACCTTAATCACTAATTCTACAAACAACTTAAGTATTTGGAATTTAAGAGAAATAAATAGTTAATTGTGTTTTGTCAGGAGTACATTAATAAAAATGGCATCTCAAATTTTCATTTTTGTATTAATATTAAGAATTAGGACTATAAACATTAGAAACAAAACATTTCGAATTATATGAAAAATCATTGGAAGTGTCAGCGTTAAATGAAGCAGGTTTATTTTAGTAGCTTTAATTGGCTATATCGCTGCATAAACGATTACTGAAAATTTGAATAACACTACAAGTATCACCAAAAGAATCAGAACTTGAACCTTTTCCTTGCCCATCACCCCAAAAAGAACAAGCTGATTAATCAGGAGTTGCAAATTCTTCATACTGAGTAGTACTTTAACAAGCTTTTTCAAAGAAATCACAACCTTTACCTCTTCCCCAATAAATAGGATCAGTTAAATTTTCATTAACATCATCCCAATATCCAGTATCTTTTAGAAGAGCTATTGTGAAAAAAGTCAAATTCAAACCTTCTGTAAGAGCAGAAGCAGTCATTATTTCACTTCTTATAACTGTTCTCTCCCAATGTGAGTTTATAGAGCCTTAGCCACCCTAAATAAATAAATTAATTTATTAGTTAAAATAAATAAAAAAATAGATAAACTTAGAATAAAGATTTTATCATTTTTTTAGATTTAATTAAATTACTTGATTTTCTAATTACATTCCTTTTAAGGTTGGACATCCATAATATTTTTAAGCTGTCGCTATTACATTTGGAGATCCTAATAATTTTGTATCTAAGCCTCTAATTTTTTGAGTGGTGATTAAATTATCAGCTGCTG